TATATATAATTATATATATTTATTATATATAATATATTTATTATATAATATATAATATATACAGTATACATCCATGAGCAAATAAGTACAGGATGTGTGTCCCTCATTAGGGTTTAGGGTTTAGGGTTTAGGGCTTAGGGTTTAGGCTGTATACACAACAACAGCCAAATCGGTTATATCCCTTTTAGCTAACAGTTTGCTGCTGCTGCTGCTCCTGCAGCAGCAGCAGCAACATAAACAGTTATTGCAGCAGCAGCAAATGCACCTGTTGCTGCTGCTGCTCCTGCAGCAGCAGCAGCAACAGGAGCATGAGCACCAGGAGCTAGGGTTTAGGGTTTAGGGTTTAGGGTTTAGGGTTTAGTCGTCTGTATTTAATCTTAATTTTTTCCTCATACCCATCTCTATCTTTCCTTGTTTAATATATCTTTTCTTTCTTATTTCTTTTTGTTTAATTAATTTATTTATTTCTTGTTTATTTATATCTTTTTTCTTTTTATTTATTTTTTCTTCTTTTTTTTGCATGCGCTGTCTATCTCTATCTTTTTTTATTGTACGTAACCTCTGCAGCAAGGCAGCAACTTTCTTATCATAAGGAGACACTAATGGTTGCTGCATATCTTTTTCTTGTTGCAGTTCTTTTCCTTTTAATTTCCTTAATCGTGATGTTACTGGTTGCAGCTGCATGCAACACATACGCATGCATGCATGCAAAAAGCCCCAAATCTTCATAAGCAATATATATCTCTATATGCATGCATGCATGCATGCATGCATGCATATATACATTGATGTATGCAGCAGCAATAACAGCAGCAATAACAGCAAATGAACAACAGGAACATGACAACACACAGCAGCAACAGCAACAGCAGCAACAGCAGCAGCAGCAACAGCAACAGCAACAGCAGCAGCAGGAATTTACCTTAAGTTTAGATCTAAATGGTAATTTTTCTGCTAATTGTTTAGGTATCTTAATAGGATTAAATTTATGTATTTTTCTTGTTCCTTGTCCATAAGAATACATTAATGATGATTTTTTATATAAAGGAGACACTTTTTTGTCTCTTCTTATCTCCTTTATACTACGCAAACGTCGCCAAGAGGAGACATCTATCATTGGATTATAAAAAGGTATTGGAGGGACCTGGATACACCAGCAACAGCAGCAGCAGCAGCAACAGCAACAGCAGCAGCAGCAGCAACAGCAACAGCAGCAGCAGCAGCAGCAGTATACATATACATATACGTATACATATACATGTACATATATAACTTTATGTAATTAAAATATATAAATAAATAAATCATTAAATAGACAATAAAAAGGAGAATAAAACTGATTAAAAAAATAATTAAATAAACTAATTAAATAATTAAATAAATAAAGAAAAAGTACAAAAAAAAACGTACTTGTATCCACATTTTACAGACAACAGTATCCGAGTATAGAATTTTATCTTCAAATGTGGCCCGAAATAATCCATCGACTCCAATAGATTTTTTTATTTCTCCTCTTATACCGGAGACAGTCTGTATACGGGCACCTGTAAATATATATAAATAAATATATTTATTTATTTATTTATTTATTTATTTATTTATTTTCTTATTTGTCTTATTCTTATGATTATACTGATGGTCGTATTGTTGTTGGTTTTTTTCTATAAAATTACAGCAACAACAACAGCAGCAGCAGCAGCACGACCGCAGCAGCAGCAGCAACAGCAGCAATGTGTCTCTTTACCAATACATCTATTAACATCTAGATTAGAATTAAATATTCCCTTAATAAATGCTGTATGTTGATATATTATATTAGCAGCAGCAGCAGCAGCAGCAGCAAAACAGCAGCAGCAGCAGCAAAACAGCAGCAGCAGCAGCAACAACAGCAGCAGCAGCAGCAACAGCAGCTTACCGATACATCTATTAACCTCTAGATTAGAATTAAACATTCCCTTAATAAATGCTGTATGTTTATATATTTTATTTGCTTCCCCTAATAATTTAATTTTTTTATTTATTATAGGTATATTATTTATTGGCTGTATACATACACCTAATGCAGATATCCTGTATTCTTTTATCCCTTTTTTTGTCTCTTTTTTTATCATTATACAAGGAGTAGATGGTAATAAATAAGGACAATATATATAACATAAACAATGTAAATGCTCAGGTGTATATTTCAAATATTTTATCCTGTACAAAAAAAAAAAAAATATACATAAACCCTAAACCCTAAACCCTAAACCCTAAACCCTAAACCCTAAACCCTAAACCCTAAACTTTATTATTTTTTCCCTTTTCCCTCAACTAATGTATGTATGCATAGTACTGCATAATAATGCATGCATAGACATACACAAATAAAATAAATAAAATAAATAAATAAATATTTATTTATTTATTTATTTATTTATTTATTTATTTATTTATTTATTTATTTATTTATTTACCTGCTCTCCCCTCTATGCTCTAATGCATAGATAGGAAGAGATAATTATAGATAAATATATAAATAAATACATAAAAAAAAGGACAATAAACTAGATAAATAAATAAATAAATAGATAAATAAATAAATAAATAAATAAATAAATAAATAAAATAAATTACCTGCTCTCCCCTCTATCCTCTAATGCATAGATAGGAAGAGATTGAAATCTTCTCCATCCTGCACTAAATAAAATTGAATCAAAACTTTTGAGTATATAGGGGCACCATCTATGTTTACGTACACGTAGCTGCATATACACCGTAAAAAAAGAGGGAAAAAAGAGGAGGAATTAAGTAATTAATATATATATTCATGCAGAGAAGAAGGGACTAATATAAAATACAAAAAAAATAAAAAAAAAAGAAGAAAAAGGAGATAAATAGTCACTATTTAATATAAGGACACTATCGATATATACGGACACGCAGCTGCATATACACCGCAAAAAAAAAAGAAGAAAAAAAGGAGATTAATTAAGTAATTAAGTAATTAGTTTATTAAATCAGGGAAGGAGACATATAAAATGCAGAAAAAAGAAGAAAAAAAGAAGAAAAAGAAGATAAATATAATATATATTTAATATATATGGATAACATTGAGCTGCATATACACCGCAAAAAAAAAAAGAAAAAAAAAAAAGATAAAAAAGGAGACACATAAATAAATAAAAGGAGACAAAAGGAGACATAAAAAAGGAGAGACACATAAAGGAGACAGATAAAAGGAGACAAAAGAAGACAAAAAAAAGAGACAAATAAAAAGAAACAAAAGGGTACAGATAAAAGGAGAGAAAAGGAGAAAAAAGGAGACAAAAAAATAGGAGACAAAAGGAGACAAAAAAAGGAGAAAATAGGAGACAGAAAAAAAGGAGACAAAAGGAGACATAAAAAAAGAGAAAAGGAGACAAAAGAAGGAGACAAAAGGAGACAAAAAAAAAGGAGAGAAAAGGAGAAAAAAGGAGACCAAAAAAGGAGACAAAAGGAGACAAAAAAAAAAGAGAAAAGGAGACAAAAAAAAAAAGGAGAGAGTAAGGGTAAACATACCTGCATATAAGTACATTGTAATTCTCCTGCATTTAATCCCCCTAATATAATTAATTTATTATAATAATAATTATTATTATAATTATATTTATTTATATTATTATTTATATTATTATTATTATTATTATATATATATTTATCCTTATAATAAAGTGTCTCCTTTATCCATTCCTTAGGTAATCCTTTTATTGTTATTTTTACGTATGTACCGACACTATATCCACCAAGTGTCTCCTTCCCCTTAAGGAATTTTGCTGATGCATATTCATCTATTTCTTCTCTTCTTCCTTCTCCTGTGTCTCCTCTTGCTGTTCCTGCTGCAGCAATACATACACACATATAAATATATATATATGTATCTAAACCCTAAACCCTAAACCCTAAACCCTAAACCCTAAACCCTAGAGTTGATAAAAGAGAGACAGTGTTTGTTATTTCTATGAGTGTATATGTCTTCTTGTGTCTTACCAGTCCCTTCTTGCTGCTGTATAGGTACTCCATCAGCAGCAGCAGCAGCAGCAACAGCAGCAGCAGCAGCAGCTTTTATTTCTGCTTCCTTTTTTGCTTCCTCTAACTCTACCCATCCCCCCGTTATAAAACAATGACGCTGAGCAGCAACAACCCCACCATAATAACACACTATACACTATCACCAGCAGCAGCAGCAGCAGCAGCAGCAGGAGCAGATGTTGCTGGTGGTGCAGCAGAAAGAGGATAACAGCAGCACTTGCAGCAGCAGCAGCAGCAACAGCAACACAACAACAGCAACAGCAGCAGCAACAACAGCAACAGCAACAGCAGCAGCAACAACAGCAGCAACAACAGCAACAGCAACAGCAGCAGCAGCAGCAGGAGACAATGTACCTTAATAGCCTTAAGGAATTGTTTAGTCCATAGATTATTAAGTGTGGGGTTGTTGGGATCGTTGGGATCGTTGGGATCGGGATCGATCCCCATAGCTGAATAGATAGCAAGTGTCTCCTTTATTGGGTTGTCTCCTGAGTCTATAGAAGGAGACAGTTTTGCTGCTGCTGCTGCTGCTACGGGTAAATTACCATAAAGGTTACAATTACTACTGGTGCTGCTGCTGCTGCTGCTGCTGCTGCTGCTGTTGCTGTTGCTGTCGCTGCTGTCTCCGTCTGAATCGTCAAAAAGAGACAGTTGTGTCTCTTTTTTATTTATTTTATTTATTTTATTTATTTTATTTATTTTATTTATATTATTTATTAAGGAGACACTACTGTCTCCTTTTATTATTCCTCCCTTATCTAATTGTCCATACACTACATCTGCTAATGTTAATCTGCTGCTGCTGCTGCTGCTGCTGCTGCTGTTTATATGCTGCAGCAATATATCTCCTGTTGTATCCTTCTGTATCTTTTTTTTATTGTCTCCTTTTTTATTCTTTTTTGTCTCCTTTTCTCCCTCTTCTTCCTCTTCTTCCTCTGCTGGTGTCTCCTCTGCTGTCTCTGCTGTCTCTGCTGTCTCCTCATCTGTCTCCTTTTCTTCTTCCTCTTCCTCCTCTTCTTCTTCCTCTTCCTCTTCTCCTTCTTCTTCCTCCTCTTCTTCTTCTTCCTCCTCTTCTTCTTCTTCCTCCTCTTCTTCCTCTTCTTCTTCTGTCTCCTCATCTGTCTCCTCATCTGTCTCCCTCTCTATCTCCTCTTCTGTCTCCTCTCCTGCTTCTGCTGCTGCTGCTGCTGCTGCAGCAATACGACGAGGAGGAGGAGGCTCTGAGGTGTCTATACACCTAGTAGATGTATCTAGTAGCTGCAGCTGCTGCTGCTGCAGTTGCTGCTGCAGCACATTATCTGCTTGCTGCAGCTCCCTTACCATCTTTATTGCTGGGCCCATGGATTCTTCTGTCTCCTCTTCTGTCTCCTCCTCTGAGCTGCTGCTGCTGCTGCTGCTGCTGCTGCTGCTGCTGTTGCTGCTGCCGTCGTCATCACTGTCTCCTTCATCCTCGCTGCTGCTGCTGCTGCTGCTGCTGCTTGATTCTATTGCCTTCTCTTTTATTAGTTTATCTTTAGGGGTAAACGCTACCTGCAGCAACAACCCCACCAATAACAACACTTTTCTCCCTTATATATATAAT